GCTGTATGTATATGTGTGTGTGTGTGTATATATATATATATATATATATATATATATATATCATTTATTTGAGCTGTTTGGGGCATATGCAGCAGTAAAGCGTTCCCCGATCATAATTATTATCCTACGTTTTACCAAAAGGAGCACTTTGTCTTGCATCAAATGTAATTGATCCTGAAGCAGTGTAATCACAATTACTCACTTTCTTAATTGGCCTGCCCAAAATCAGAAAATGGAAACCGATCGGCAGTGTTTAAATCAATAGCTTTGTAGTAGTGCTTGTGGGGGTTGGGAGATAGTGGTAATGGGTAGATCAATTGGTCTTAGATGCCAATCATTGACTGTGTGTTTTGCATAGTAAACACTACCTGTCTGCTTCGAGATGTTGTAGTGTTAGTGGTTCAATAAATGCAAACTATATTAAGAAAAAAGCAAGAATGACTAATAAAATATTTAGATCACTTTTAAAAGATCTTGAACATATCAAGGGCAGTGAAGGAGAAACTGCAATATACAGTGTTGAAAGCTTTGAGAGCTTTGAAAGACCTCCCTAATAAGCACTATTTTATTAAGCAAAGCTTTCGAAGATCACATACCTAATTAGAGAGAAAGGAGAAACTCTTTAACTTGAAAACTGTTCCTAATGCATTTATTTAGAACATACATTAGGTTGCTCATCCTGTCTGCTCATAGTGAGAACATCACATCACTGCCTTTCTTGTGCGATCTCTCAGCAAATGCACTTTTCCCCCTTTCACTTAATTTCTATACAATAATGCTTTTTATGTGTGTTTTTAGAAGGAAAAAAAAGTGAGGGTCAGGATGAGTAAATGGCCAATCTTCATCTTCTAAAAAGCATGTACATATATGTGTACACAGACACCCTGTGTGTGTGTGTGTGTGTGTGTGTGTGAGAGAGAGAGATGGATGTATATTTAGGGTCTCCAACTTCCCTATCCTTTTTCCTCCCTATGTTTGCAGGCAAAAGCCTCTTTCAGATAAGCTCCTACCTCATTGCAGGGGTTGGGTCCAACGTGGCAGTTGCCTGAAGAGAAGGGAAGGACTCCTATTGTTTGGAGTATCTACTGCCCTAAAAGATCTGGGGAAGGGGGAACAAGTGTGTTCCTCTCTCCCCCACCAGAAAAACCCATACAAACTTCTAGAGATGGGCTAGTGCTGGGGATGTGAAAAGAACCTATTCTCTCTCCCTTCCACCTCCTGATCCCTGGAAAAATTCTGTGGCAGGCCATCAGGACTCTATGTGAAGGAAGGGAAGAAGCCTGTGCTATTAATGTCTTCCCAGTGTGACGGGTTGCTCCCCTTTAAGGTGCCGCCTGATGTACTGAGATACCACTGAGCCCACCTGTTCTGCCAGCCTTTAACCTGTCTTGCTGAGCCAGGCTCTTAAGCCTCCACTAGCGCACACACAGGCAGGGCCACACCCAGCTGCAGAAAGACACACACTGAGATCAGCTCAAAGAAGACTCCGCTTAAGGGACTTGCCCCAGCACTCAGGTGCCCACCTCCCTTGGAATGCAGACTCAAAGGTATAGTGTCTTGCACTGTGTAGAAAAATCTGCACAGAGCAAGCTCATAAAAATTCACCCTCTCCCTCAATTTGAAAAGAGAGATGCACAACTTCTTTCCGACCCCCCCCCCCACGTTAGAAATTGCACAAACTGGGTTTAATAATAAAACAAATTTATTAACTATAAAAGTAGATTTTAAGTGATTATAAGAGATAGCAAATAGAACAAAGCAAGTTACTGAGCAAATAAAACAAAACACTCAGACTAAATTTAATACACTAAAGAAATTGGCTACAAATAGTAATGTCTCACCCTAAATGTTGTTTCAGGCAGATTGCAAAGATTCTTGAAAGCCAGCTGTACTGGCCTGCAATTTGAAACTTCAGGTATTATTACTCACAGGCTAGCCACCCTTCCAGCCTGTGCTCAACTCTTCTCCCCCCAGTTCAGTTCTTGCTTCCAGGTGTTTCCCCGGTGTCTCTTTGGGTGGGGAGGCATAGGAGAACCACGATGATGTCACTCCCCTGTCTTATATAGCTTTTGTGTATGGTGAGAACCCTTTGTCTTCCAGTGGAAAAACACTGGCATTCCAAAGCGGGTTCCAGTATCAGGTGACTCAGTCACATATCTCTGCAGGGTCCTAGCAGCCATTACTCCTAGGCTGTCTGGAGTGTCCACTGGAAGACTACGCTCTTTCACAGTCTGTTGTTTTTGCTGATGGGCCATCAGCCCTGTCTGGCTTTTTCATTGTTGTACCTGAAGGGCCAGTTGTGGGTATCATCCAAGGTAGCACATTTGAAATACAGATACATGGTCAATATTCCTAACTTCGGATACAAAAATGATACATGCATACAAATTGGATAACCACATTCAGAAAGTCATAACCTTTCCAACGATACCTTAATGAGCCATCTTGCATGAAGTATATCTCAGTTGTGCCATATCCATATCATAAGCATATTTCCATATAGAATATGGAGTGTAATGTCACACCCAAAATCTAAGAGCCTGAGGGGTGGGAGTGGGCAGAAAGTCACCACAACTACTGAGAGAAGGGGGAGAGAGCTGAAGTGGAATGGGAAGAAGTGCTTGTATGCATTCCTTTCCCCTCCTTCAAAATAATGAGCAGACTTGGGGTCACGGGAACGCAGCACACACTGAAAGATGGCAGAGAGATGGTCTGGTTACTAAACCCAGCCCCAAGAACTGAGCTCCTGCTCCTCCCAGTACTGCCACTGGAACCATTAAGGGCCAGTCTATGCTCTATTTCTGGTGGTACTTTGATCTGCTTCTGGGAAAGAGGGGAGACGATGCTCTGCATCCCTCTTCAGGCTTGATCTTTCATCTCTCTATATTCCTTAATTGAACACCTCCCAGTCCTCTCTCCCTGCAAGGTCCCAATCCTGTCTTATCAGGTTTTACCCCTGGAGCTTTCTCCACCTCAGTGGCTGCTCTGTGTTTCTCCTAGCCTCTTGCCAGACTTCTCTACTCAGGAGAGGATCCCAGGGTCATCTCTCCCCCTAGGCTTCCTCCTTGACCCGCCTAGGCTCTCTAGTCCCAGAGAGTGACTGCAAAGTTTCTCTCCTGCGTCTCTTTCTAATCTGCTTCCTTTCTTTATAGTCACCGCTGAGCTCCTTTCCCAGCTGGGCTTCATCTTTAATTAAGCCTGGCCTACTTTCCAAGTGCAGCCAGGTAGCATAGTTGTGTTTATATGTGGGATATACACTGCATCGCAGATCCCTATGTAGGGATTACAGGCCTGGAAAAAATACCAAAATTTAGAGTCACTGATATTCAGTGTAAAGAGAATTATAGTGATTGGAGCAAAGGAGGAATGGTTTTATGCAGCTGAAAAACAATTGTATCAAAGTATGCTGGATCTCAGCAATTCTAGCTTGAAATAAAGTAAATCTCACCTAATGACCATAAGAAAAAGCAACAAGCAGAAAACCTATTGATAAAGGAGGAGGTGGAAACAGGCATCAGATCCACAAAAGCTATTTTAATGGCTTTATTAAGAAATATTAATGAGTTTGTTACTTTGGGGGGGAGAGTGGACTGTTTGGTTGGACCAGTGGTTCTCATCCTTTTCAGGAATCTGATTTATCTTGTGTACCTCAAGTTTCACCTCACTTAAAAACTACTTTCTTACAAATCAGACATAAAAATACAAGTGTGTCACAGCACACTGTTATTGAAAATTTGCTTACTTTCTCATTTTTACCATATAATTATAAAATAAATCACTTGGAATATAAATATTGTACTTACATTTCAGTGTGATACTTGAGCCTGTTTTTCACTTGTGAGCCTTGTCATTCTGGGAGGCAGTGAAGCGACAGCAACAATTAAGTTTTTCTCCATATTGAGTCTATTCCTACACTCAGGGCCACCATTAGGGGGGTGGCAAGCAGGGCAATTGCCTAGGGTCCCATGCTGTAAGTGGCCCTGCAAAGCTAAGTTGCTTAGGCTTGGGCTTTAGTACTGCACCTCAGGGCTCGGACTTTGGCTTTCTGCCCTGGGCCCAGCGAGTCTAACACCGGCCCTGGCAACCCCCTTAAAACGAACACGCGACGTACTTTGTGGTTGCAACCCACAGTTTGAGAACTGCTGGTATAGTATATAAAGCAGTATAAACAAGTCATTGTATGAAATTTTAGTTTGTATCGTCTTCACTCGTGCTTTTTATATAGCCTGTTCTAAAAGTAGGCAAATATCTAATTTAGTTGACGTACCCGCTGGAAGACCTCTGCATGACCACAAGAGCCACTGGATTGGACAGTACTTAATAAGGGTCCTCTCCCACTGCTTTAGAATACTTATGTAGGAGCCAAGCTACATTAATACTTTCCCACTATAAAAGGGTTAGATTGTATACATCTGGAGACACTATGTCGTCAATACAGTAGGTCAGATTAATGTATAAATAGCATGGTCTGCAGTAGATCCAACAGCATGTTGAATTATCCCATAATCGTTCTTGGTTACATTTTGAAAGTGGTTTTGTTTTGTTTTGTTAAATTATTATGAAGGTGTTGTTGAATCCCCTTATAGCCATTTGAGTTCAAACAAGCCACTTAACCCATATAGAAAAATGTTACCTGGGGCAATTGGCTAAAGAGTCACTCTTTCACTTCCAAATTCCTGGTGTTCTTATATGAAAAAATACTACAATGAAATAATATAATTGTTAAATCCTATGTCACAGCCCACTTCAGTCTCAACATATGCTGACTCCATCCTTGCTATTTCAGTTTTCTGTTGTCATTAGATAAACTGACAGCATTCAAACTATATAAGAAAAATAATGAATGTCAGGATTGTAAGCAGGGATAGAGTTAAAAATTATTTATAAAATGGAATAGCAACCTGTGACACACATTATTATAAAGCTTATCTCAGCCAGACTTTAAAGAATCATTTTAGTATATATTTACTGAGCTTAGATTTAGAGCAATAATGTCAGTTATTGTTCTGCTACATTACATTTAACACATCTACATTTGGCATTTAAAAGCTTAATTACAGCATATCACAAGTTTTAAAAATCAAATAATTTTAGAATATATAAAATGTATCTTCTAAGTGTTTCTGTTGCAAAATTTGTAGCAGCTGGTTAAAATAAAGTAACTGGGACATAAAACAAATATTTTTCTGATTTCAGATACTTTGTCTTGTAATTTTTTTAATCAGAGGAAAAATATGACTTCTATATTAATCATCCAGTGCTGTTTCCTATATCAGCCAATCTAATTTCAGACTTCTAAGGTGAAAAAATTATTAAAAATCAATAGCAAATGTTTGAGATTAATTTAAATACCATGGATATTAATCAATTGATTTTTGTACTACTAATGATTGTACCAATATGTTTAAGTAGGATAACTCAGACATACAAGCAATCAATATTTGCTGATTATTTGGCACACCAGTTAATGAAGGGATTTTTTATCTTTCCAAAATTTCACTTTCCCTATGGCTAGAACAAAGATTTTAATTGTAAATGCATTCTTAACTGGATGTCGCATATCGTAGTCAGCCAACCAAACATGGTAATGTCCACGTACCTTGAATTTCTGTAAAAATTAGTTTCAGGTACAAATAATTTGACCCTTGCAGAGAATGAGGTGAACAGTGTTTATCTTTTTTGTGGGGAGGGGAAGGTGTTAAGAAGGAATCTGTAACATATGTTGTTTTTTAATAGCAGAATACTGCTGATGTGCTATTTTGTTGTTTTTTTAAACTATCCGCTGTTATGAAAACTAGTCCCAGCTTTGAGAGAGTTTCCATCAAGGCTTCTGATCAACCAGTAGCCTACTTCTTACTATGTCAAAAAATGAGACTTTTTCAAAATTGAACTGATAAAATATTTTTCTTGCTTTTCAAACTAGTTTCTTCTACGTTTCTCAGACAATATTCTGTGCCCTTCCAAATTATGTCCTTGTTAAGTTTAGAAGTGACTGTATTATAATAGATCTTTGGATTTTTTAGAAAAATGTTTCATACTAAATAGGAAGATTGTTTAAATATTTGTTCCTGGATATTACACTTTGCGTAAGAAAATTCTTTGTACTTACTGGTGGTATTAAAACAAGAGAAATAGAATCTTGCTAATTCAGACTAATTGCTGGGATGTTGCTGATTATTGAACTTTGCAAAATAACAAATGAACAAACAGTTTTTAAAAAATCATATAAGGTTGATTTTTAGCAAGCGTGTAGTTTAGTTTGTTATCTGATACTTTTTAGTTGACAAGAACATGTGCATAGCAATAAAAGTAACATTATTAGAAATACAAAAGCTCACTGCAACACCTTGCTGTTACATCTATGCTGGGAAGTAGGATGAGACAACCAAATTTTTGGTGAGAATTAGCAGGGTTTTGGATTAGCAAAGTGAAAATCAGAAAGGTAAGTTCTACAGTATCAGTTGATAATATATTTGCTCCAATTTAATTTTGGTTATATAGAATATTTTCTTACCAAAAATCTTTGTTCACTTCTGTGTAATTTCTCTTCTCTCAGTACAAAGGAAGATCACTTCAATGTTAATATTCAGCCCCCTGTTGGAGAACTACTTTTACCTGTCACTATGTCAGAGAAGGACTTTAAAACAGAGCAAGGTGAGAAATATTATTTTAGTAACTTTGATAAATGCATTTTTGATTTCCGTGTGCGTGCACTGCAATGCTTTTCACTTGCACATCTATACAGATGCCCAGAAATCACTTTATGTATGTAGCTATTGATGCTATTCTGTGCATTCACTTTCAATCTCAAACTAATGGCTTGGGTTAGAAAACACCTTCAGAAGCACACGGAGTGTGCATTCCAGTGGTACTTGACAACTGATTAATATATCTTTTAAAAAAACAAACAGTCCCTCCTCATACATAGTCCATAATCAACCTTTTGGCCTTGAGAGTTATGGTTTCCTAACATTGCTCACTAATGCATTTCATATTAGTGCTAATGGCAGGAATTTTAGACCCACCAGCTCAGAGAAATAATACAAATGTGTACTAATACAATGATGTCTGCTTTTATTAGTCTTTATTCCAAGCTATTGCTAGTATAGAGTTAATGTACTTTTTCTCCCAACTACTTTGAAGTTCATTACAATCAGACCCCTTTAAAACAACGCTTCTTACTATTAAAACCAAACTCTTTGGCTTCCCTTTGATGTAGCCTTTTAAAAAGGAACCATGTTGTTGTCTACACCTCGTCTGACAATTTTCTTAATGTAGTGCTTTTAAAGAAAATCGTCATTTCTGTACAATGCATGATTGTTGCTTGGCCTGGACTCCAATACATTTGATAATTTGAATGGTTCTTACTATATGAATAATACAAAATTATTATAGCTGGTTTTACTACATGTTAAATTGAACAATGCACACAGCTAAGAATTTTGTTCAGATTTACTGTAGTACTTTTCAAGTCCAAAAGCTTGAGCTTTGGATGCATTTTCAAATTTACAATGGTATATTGTCATCCATCTCAATGAATGAGGATTTACATGCGTAAATCCTTTCCCATTGAGATGAGAATGTACCCGTGGGATTCCATCTCATGGCTGTGTAAAGCTCAGAAACCCAGTATATCTATCAAGAAGTCAAGAACACCAACGAGTAATCCTATGCAATGCTATATATTATTAATAATCACTTTTGCATCATTTCTTAGTTACTTTTATATTTTAAATGATTAAGAATGAAATCTAAGTGTTACTTATATTATTTTCTGTGAAGTTGATCACTGCAGTGAAAAGTTAGGATTGTGAATTTTTTTCTTAACCAATTGATACTTATTTGCTGTTCTTACCCTTTGCTGGCTAAAGCCTGCCTCACTGCTTTGCACCTGCTCAGCAAACGAAGGTGAGTGATTAAATGAGGCTTTGGCACATTTGTTTTAAACTGTTCGCTTCTTAAAATTGTAGGTAGGGGTATACTGTAAGTAAAGAAGGTTATTGTACTGCTTTCCCCACTTTTTATTTTATTTTATTTTATTTTATTTTATTTTATTTTATTTTATTTTTGCTTGCTAGCTTGATATTTGATCATTTTCTATGCTTTGCTTTGACTGAGGGGTTTTTTCCCCCTGACTGACCATATAGAACCATGAGAACATAGAAGAAGTGCACTTTGAGAATAGCTATGGTCCTCTGTGGAGTTGTTGCCAAAATTCTTTTTTCTTTTGCCATTTTACTTCTATGGTTGTTGATTATTTGTCTGAATAAATCTGGCAGCTGTTTGCTATGTTTAATAGAGCAGAAAGGCTACTCTGAATAAAGCTATTTGAAATTTTGTTTATATGAAGTATTTGTAAATCCATGAAGGTCTCTTGGCATTTCTATATCGTTCTTTCTGTCTTCCTGAATTCATTCTTTGATGCAGGACTTGATGCTGGCAAATTTACCACATTAAAAACCCTCCTCTATAGCATCTTTTTAGTTATAGAATTCAGCTGTTTTAGAAAACTCTTGGTAATAGAGGTCTCAATTCTAAACTTTACATGTGTATTTATTTGTTACACAGATCTAGGAATAGGTTGGAGTATTTTAAGAGAATTGCTATATGGGCTTGCTAAATGAAAATCCCAAATCAAAATAAGAAATGAATTTCCTCAAATTTTAGCAACACAAATCTTACTAGAGTAAAATGCAGGTCAGCTTAGAAGTTAACAAATGTGTTTCCATTCCATGTTAACTTCGATTTTACTTCATTCTCCAAATAAATCCGATTTATACACCTTATTTTTTATTTTTCATGTTTTTCCTTATTTTGGACATAAAATGTTTCAAACCTTGTATCTTGAGATACTTTTTGTTTTATGTTTGCATTCAGAGTTAATAATAGGAAATGGTGGAGGGGTGGGAAATAAGGGTGGCAGAAAATTTGTATGGGGAAAAATGAGACGATACACATGGCTTTTAAGAATTATTAGGGCTAAATTGCATGTGCAATCTAATAAGAATACTAAAGATGGAACATACAACATTATAGCAACATACAAGAAAACAATTCACAGTTTCCCATCTTCACTCAGTTACACTATGTTGCTTTGCATTGTGAGTCACATTTTGCGTATTTCCTTTCCCCCCATGGCATAAGAAACAGGGGTACAGACAGGGTGCTGAATATTCATGCCTGTGAAGGTTTCCTAGTGGCAACACTAGAAAACAGAAAGCTGTATTTATCTACATACTATGCATCATATGCTGAGCTCACTTTGCTTTTAGTTCAAAACTGGGGAAACCTCTTTCAGGGTGATTCATTCCCTATCCATACAGTCTTGAGCAGCTGCTTAATTAATGTTGTGATTTTGTGATTTGACCATTTGGAAGCAATGGACTAATTAATTTTGTTATTTTAAATACTTGTTTCAGTCTTAGGCTTCAGCATTCCATGCTATATCTGCAGCACTTACTCAGACAAAACTCCACTTGGCTTCAGTGGTAATTCTGTCTGAGTAAGAACTGTAGCACAGGGGCCTCTATCCTCATGTCATCTTTCCTGACTCTTCCTTTTGAAATCAATGGCAAAGGTCCAGTTGACTTGAATGGGAATAGATTTGAGCTCAGTCTTCTCTGACAGATGACAATATATCAGCTGTACTTTGCATCAGTATAATTTTTTTTCCAATTTAATTTCCTTTTATTATTCAAACTGTGTATTCTTGATTCATTGTAACACTTAATTAACCCAAATTAATTGCCTTTCTGTGCACTGACCAGAGTTTTCTTAGATTCCAATGAGTAATGCAACGTTAAAGGTGGTGGCACATGTTTCTTATAACATAGTTGTTTTAATTGGTTTCATTTTACAATTTTTTCATAGATAAAAATGTAATTGATAATTCTGCAAAAATTTTAAGTCAAGTATACATGGCACATTTTAATTTAGAAATACCAGGGATTAAAAAAACACGTTTACTTAATTTTATTAAGATTTATGCATCTAACTTGTGTTCCTAATAAGCAAGATGCTAATTCTTTAAATGGTCAGACATTTACTATTTTCTGGCCCTTAACTACCACAAGCAATCATATTTGATGCCCCTTAATTAGAGCACCTTTTTTTCTTTCCAGGTTCTTTTCCACCTCAGCAATCGAGACAATACATTTGCTTACCATGCTGCTCTCCTAAGTGTTCTTTTGCATGTAAATTAATCTTGATTCAGTTTACACTGTCATGCTGAGTGGTACAAATTGCCTATAACAATAAAACAGCATGAGTTAAAAATAAAGGGGGGTGGAAAGGCAGATTGAATGTGTGCCTTACTTGATAGGATGTTACTTTGCTTTATGCCAATACATTAGTCAACGATAATGAATCTTCTGTTCTGAAAAGCATGGTTTAGTTGATTTTTTTAATTTTACTTCAATGGAGCAGTACCTTGTCTTTTATAGAACAAGTTAGACAAACCATTAATGACAAGAGTGTTAAGGTTAAATATGAAGCAATGCATTCACTTCTCTGAGTGCTATCCATCTTTCCATTTACAGGAGCTTGACAAAAGTACTGGCTTTGTACAACATTTCCTTTAATTACATGCTGTGGGAAACAGGCTTTTAACATAAACATAGTTGCATTCATTTATTCAGCATTTGCTCTTCAATAGAGCTTAATGGAGAAGGTTTAAATCCTAAATGAGTACACACATCTCTCAGCAGTGTTGTCAGTCCCTGTGCTCTGCTTAAAAGCAGTTTTAGATTGCTTATGTAGTTTTTAAAGCTTTTGCCTAATATTGAAGTTAAACAGTCTGAAACAGAATGTACTGTTTCCAAGGTTAGATAATGCTAATGCTGATTTTTTATAGAAGATAGATATTTATTTTTGCTTTTGTCATGAGTAAATCATGTTCTAAAATATCCCCTGTATTACTTATTTATTGATTTATTTTTTTATCCAGAATTTCAGATTTTATGACAAAAACTGATTCAAATTCTAATGTATGGCTATGTTGACTTTTTAAAATCAAATTTATTAAGCATCTGAATGGAATTTGCAGTATATTGTGTATACATTTCTAAAAGGGTAGGATTTTTGAGAATTTTAAATAGTTTCGATTACTTAATTTTATTGTTCATATAAATATCTGACACTGATTTAATTCTTTACTGCTTCTACTTGAGGTCCTACATTTCATTGTTTTACAAACAGTTTTTAGCATCTGAATATAGCATAGATTCCTGCAGGATTTTCATATAAGGACTGTGTGAAGCTCTCTAGGGGTGTTTTTTCTGGATTTTAATTAACATAGATGACCTGCTAAATGCTGTTCTAAGCACGGGGTGTTGATGTAAGAAAAACATTTCTTATATATAACCTTCTTGAATTACATTTCTCCTTTCATTTTTATTCAATTTTTTTCTTCATATGATAGCATGGAGGGTTGACATTTGAGCTGTATTTTGTAATGATGTATTTTAATCAAATATAGTTTATCATTACATTCCTTAAGAGACCGATACTAGCTGAGTAAACAGTGTTTCTCAGTTTCTGATCTGATCATTTTAACTTTATCTTCATGAATTAAACTGATCTGATTGACTGCGAAAAGAAAAGATTTGAAATTCAAAGAATAATCTGCAATGAAATTACAACTGAGTATAGTGGTTTTATTCTTATACGATTGAAAAAGTTCTTTAGATGTAGCCTATCGTTCAAATTTGTCTTATTTCAAAACTTTTGTTTAATATTTTATATCCGTATGTTTGCTGTGTTCTATATTATGTACTCTTTCTGAAAAGGAACCACTTTGGCTGCACACAAATTTATTAATATCACATCATTGTTCAGTTATTACTATTTTCTTTTCAGTAACATTAAATTATTTTAAAATCACAAGTTAATTGGGCTTTTATATAAATCTACACATACTTCAATTTTTTAAAGTCAGTTTCTTGATAAATAGTTTAATTTTATATGTAATTTTCTTCTAGGAAACCGAGAAAAATAAAGTTTGTCTATTTGCTCTTATTCAGTAACAGACCATATATTTGTTTCTGTAGATTTCCTAAAGTATTATAAAACAAAAAAGAAAACAAAAAACACTACTCTTAATGTTTCAGGAATGCTCACCGGAATGAATGAGACCTCTACAACAATCACTGTTGCTCCACAGAATTCCACTCGTCTTGTGTTACTTGAGAAGGTGGTAAAGGCAGCAAACTTGGGTGTTGTTCCATCTGGTCAAGATAACATACACAGGTAAGCTAAGGCTGACATATGCAGTGGAACAAAGTGGTTCGGTGTCAATGTGCATAATCTTACATTTATAGCTGTAGAGTGGAGTTTCACTTGAGAATTGTGAGAAAAATAAGAGTCCAAATTCAGAGTTCCAAAAGGCATTTTTTAAATATTTTCTCTTGATTGATTTGATTTTTAAGCTTTTCCTTCCTTTTGTATATCTAAATTTGGTAACCATGAAAGAAAACTAATGTCAAGCTACTTTCTCCATTCAGATCTACCAATCTGCCTACACCCTGACTTACAACAGACCTTACTTATCCTGTTCTTCGCTTCCTTTAAAAATATCTCCATTTGGTTCAAAATGTAGCAGCCTGTTACTGATCAGTGGTCAGGAAGATTTTATCATCCATGACCTTATCCAAAGAAACTCCTGACCTGGCCTGCATCACAGAATCCTGAGTGGGTGTTGACTCAGGCCCTGACTCTAGCTCAGGGGTCGGCAACCTACGGCACGCGTGCCAAATACGGCACGCAAGCCGATTTTGAGTGGCTGCCTGCCGCGGTCCTGGCCCTCACGCTTCCCCCCCCCCTCCCCCCCCCGCTCTCCCCTGCAGGGGCAGGAGGCAGAAGCTTGGTCCTGCGGCAGCCAAGCTTCCCCCCTCCCCCGCTTCTTCCCCCAGCATGGTGCTTTCCTGCCCCTCCTCCTCTCCTTCCCTGCGCCAATCAGCTGATGGCCCTTGCGAGGGGGAGGGGGACGAGTGGCAGCGTGCTCGCTGCTCCGTTGAGGAGGCAGAGAAGAGGTAGGGACGGGACCTTGGGGAAGGGGGTGGAACAGGGCATATCCCATATGGTAGCATCCCCACAAGCCGAGCACCCCAGCCCTCTGCCCTGACCCCTAACCCCCCCACACACACACACACCAACTTCTGCCCTGCACCTCCAGACCCCCAGCCCTCTGCCCTGACCCCTAACCCCCCCACACACACACACACCAACTTCTGCCCTGCACCTCCAGACCCCC